CTTTTCTCTCTGTGGGCTGCTTGCCCATGGAAGCAGGATCCATCCTGCCCCTTGTTCTGGGCTGGTCCCGGTTGTTCCTCACTGGGAGGGGCTGGCCACGTGTCTCTCTCTCTCTCTCTCAGGGTGGCTGCTGTGCCTTGGGACCTTCTGTGTCAGAGGCTCCTGCGACAGGCGAGGCTGTTCTCCCACAACCGGCAGCAGGAGGGGACACGGCACCTCCTCTTCTGCTGCTGGTTCAGTCACGATCCACACTCCAGACGTTTCCGGAGGGGACATCGGAGCTCCTCGGCAGGGCGTCTAGCAGAAGCAGACACGAGTCTTGTGGGACCTACAAGGGGCCATCCCATCTCCTGGGCCCTCGGGTTTCGGGGGCCGCTTCTTCTGAGACCCAGGGAGTTGCCCCCGAACAGAGGCAGGGATGACGAGGATACACGTGGGGAAGAGGGGAATGTGAAATGCAGCGGAAAGGCAAATGGTGATCCATCTGAGGACCGTCTCAAGAGCAGTCCTTCAGGGTTGTTTGAACACCACTGGGGAGGGGGTGGAAGGTACAGGTCCGGCTGGGGGGGGCTTGTTCGGAGGGGCTCAGAGGCTGCAGGTGGGGGGCTCGTCCATCCCAGCACAGCTAATCAGATTAACCCTTGCATGGCGGGGGGAAAGCCTCGCCCTCTCTGAGCCTATATATGTGGGATGGGTGCCCCTGCCCAGCTGCGTCCAGCCGTCAGTTGGGGGACGGGGAGGAATCAAGGGGAAAGAGGGGAGGGCACCGAAGCCGTGCCCGCAGCAGCCTGGCAACTGGGCAAGAGGGGTGGCCAAGCAGGCAAAGGCTGGGGGTGGCCCATAGGATTCCAGGGGGAAGGGGGTTAGCCACGGGGCCTGCGTGTCCCTTGGAGGGGGGTGGGCACCCGTTCATGCCGTGCCCCTCCCAGCAAGAGGGTGGCTCTCTTCTTCTGTGCCCAGACGCCTCGTCAGAGGATGGCCTGGTGGAAGGGAAGGCCGGCTGCTCCCTCTCTCTTCTCCTCTCCTCCACCCTGCACCCACCCCCACCCCACTCGGCCTCTGAGATCCTGTGATCGTTGTGGCATCCAAATGGTTCATTGAAGACTTTCCTGACCCCA